CACGTTTATGTACACAGAAGAAACTTCTCCACCCCCTCTTTCTACCTTAGGCGAAATTTCAAGTTCGACTACTTTGTTAATAAGGCTTTTTCGAGTATATGTGTGACGTCTTAGCGACATGTTTTTGTTAACCAACCCTTTATTTACTCTTTTGCGCCTATTACATAATTTATTTTGGACATGTAACTCGAAGACCTTTCATTAACAACCTATTTTTCTGGTTGTCCGTTATATTATGTAACTCTAGTCAAAAATTACTAGTCTTCGTCTCACCTAGTTACACTTTGATTATTCATCAGATTTTTGAAACATTTTGGTGACGTAAACATTAACCCTAACAAATTTTTATTTTTGCGTGACAATCGTAATATACACACACCAAAAAAAATTATATTCCTCGGCAAAAAAAGATTCTTGTTTGAACCTTATGTTCTTATATTCATGTTGTATTTGTGTCATAGATTTGGCATGTCATGAAAAGCATTTCCAACTGGCCACGGCAGACGTTTATCGGCGGCTTTCTTCGCTGGTTTCATTCTGAAAATCAGTTGGCCATCCGTAAGTGATTGAGGATAAGAAACTTTTGGGTATAAACTGATGAAGGATCCACTGCTCAGACAATTTTCCAAGGAAAATGGAAACGGATAGGATACACTCTCAAGAGACTGTCGCGTAACACTGCCTGACAGTCCCTAGGAAACACTACAAATCACTATCACTCTGAGAGATTTAAAAGAGGTCACTCCTTCCACTAACTTTTCATGAAGCATCGCCGTTTCAACCATAGGCGGTATGGATAAAGATATCAAAGCCAGTTAAGATCGCCAAAGCACAACAAACCTTCAGTGATCTGAAATCACTGTGGTAATTTGCTGCACTCAGCATGTGCAAGAAGATCTGTATTTTCAACACATTAATATATGAAATCAATGCTTCTATACTGAATAGATACTTGGCAAGTTACGTAGACCATTTCATAAAGGCAACTAGAGATTGTCATCAACAGTTGCCTTCTCTTGATGATACTGAAGATCGAATGGCCAAATAGAGATAATAATCGATAAAGTACTTTGAGAATGCAATGAGCAAATCAAGCGGAATGAATTGAAAATGAACTAAACATACACTGAGAAGATCTTTGAATTAGTGCGAAACCCAAGGAAAATGAAAAATTAGGTGTTCAAGAGTGAAATAGAGGCCATCGTGCTCTGGGGAGATGAAAGGTTGTGAGCAAATCATGTAGCCGTTTAAATAAAGACTAGATAGGGGCAAGCGAAACTGAGATGTACTCAAAAGTTCTACATTCCACAAGGATTCTTGAGTATAATTTCTATCTAGAACGTATTTGTTTCGAGTAAATGGGTAGGTTACCTCCCCCTTAGTGGCCAGTTGGTCAGTAGACTGATCAGGATGCCTGAATTTCTTGGATTTGATCTCTGAAAGAGTCATGGATGCGCACTATTAGGGAATACTAAACTGAGAGGAGAAGAGTACAAAAGAAAGTAATTTTAAGGAGAGTGATCTACTTGTCGAATAGATAACACATATAGTATCTACTTGAGAACATTTGCTCCATATTTTCATATGAATTCATTGGGAGCTTTTCGTCTGATTCACCCTTCCATGAGTGGCCATTATCCACAGGTAAGTTAGTATGAGCCCATTCAATCTAACCCATCAGACTGGCATATATGCATGTAGAGCGAGTTATATCAGCCGTTGTTCTAGGAACTTGACTTTTCGTGCTCTAGAATATCTTCCAATTTGGCTACGTAAGGGTGTATTGAAAACCATTAACAGTCCTATATTGGACCATCTCGTGCGAACCAGCAACCGGGTGCTTAATAAAGTGCCAAAAACAACGAAGCGCCGCATGCTACAGACAGCTGAGGCTGTGGCAATTCGCTTGAAGCAACCAGTGCTTTGAGTGCAAAAGAAACAAGTTCAGCCAGCCACTACTACTGCCCTGGCTGGTCTTCAGTAGAGACTATAAATACATAAATTTGTAATATTATCTTACCTAATTCTTCTGACATTCAGCTTTTTATATGTTGATGCTATTGAACTGAAATCTACTGATATTCTTCATTATGGATAAGATTTTATTTTGGAAAATCACACAGTGTTGCCAAGCAATATTATCAGTTAATATTACTGTACAACACTGTGTGATTTATCAAAATAAAATCTTATCCATAATGGAGTTATGCTCTACCACAGTGCCCAAGTTTTATACTTATATCAATCTACTGATATTATTGACTCTATGTTATTTAAACAACATTGATGTTGTTCATAACACTAATTCATTCACTCACTCTTATGTGTATACAACTGTAGGACCTGATGGAGACGAGGTTATCGAAAAGAGTACTCTTTGTTCAGTATCCATTCTTTTGCATATAAAATCCACAGACAACATCATAAACGGCCAGGAGATAATGGTATCCGTCGATGTCACAGTACTACAGGCTACGATTGGACAGGAGCCAAAAAAAGGACACCATGGGACAATTACTCAGAAATACTGAGGATGGATGGGATGCACAAATCTGTGTCTTACAACGTATTTTCATTTCAGCGTCCAAATGTATGAACAAATCAAAATGGTGCAGTTATGGGATCGCCCGTATCATGACTGACTGCAGAGGCTGTTAGGTAAAGACATTAAAATATAATGCTACTAAAAATTAGCTCAAAAATGTTATGCATTTGGGATACAGATGAAACGTTCTTGATAATCAGAAGAAACGAGTTAGGCAACATTCACAATCTAATAAACAACGTGTTAAGCAAAATCATATTGACAAGAGAAAAGGAATCTGTAGATCAAACATTCACCGCTGGACGTCTTAGTCAGGCCAACAACCTTCAGAAATATTAGAAACTCAAGAATACGGAAAATCAATCCACACACATCAAGTATTCAATTACCACAGCAACAATCCAATAACACATAAAAGTAGTTGGATTCAAATACTGATCAAGAGATCCAGAATGCATTGCAGCAATCCTGACTTGGGGAAAAGTTTGAGAAAAATATCTGAAAGATGTCTTCCAAGGAGATGAATATCCACGAAACGTGGTTGAAAAAAAAAAAAAACCCTGAACTTAACCAAACAAATCAAAGGTGCTCAATGAAAACACAAAGATAATTGTCCTACCAGGTATAAAGAACATTTTGGAAATTACTGTAATAGTCAGAGGTAGAATGCTCGCCAGTCATGCATGTGGTTCAGGGTTCGATCCCTGGGCACCAACGCACTCATTAAACACGCCAAGCCAGTAATAAGACTGTTAAAGAGGGAAGGTTTGGCATGTGGCTGGCTAGGAACCCCATCTCGTAAGAATGAACACCATTGCTGCAGAAACTCCAAGCCTCTAGCTTGAAGCCACCCTATGTTCCACTGGAAATGAAAAAGAATAAACAAACTTAATATTTAATTGGTGGATGGTGACTAGCAGTGGAATCCAGGATGCGCATTTCGTCCTATCTGGGACTCGTCAGCTGGATGTACCTGCATTCCTCAGTGAGTGATGATGTTCCCAACGAGGCTCGAACCCAGTACCCATAGTTTCAATCGACGGGAAAATCAAACATTCAATTCAATAAAAAACTTACTATCAAAAAATTATAAATTACAGGTACACGAATGATTTTATTGTCAGTGACATGTGAGCCATGAGGCATAGATACCACTGAGACCTATGCTTCATTGCTTTCATTGTAAACTGATGGAACTTTTCCATCTTTGAAATTTGTTTGATAGACAAACAGAAAGTATCAGAATGGACAAAATGTTTCAAGATGAGAGATAGACATTTTATTTAATAATAATGAAAATAAATAATGATTCGCTTTATTCCAAGACAGCATTTAAGATGAAGCATGAACTTTTCAACATTGTATTTCATTTACTTAGCAACAATAGAGGAGAAACGTTATGGAGTATAGGTTATTAAAATTGACGATGGGCGCTCTGTGGTATTAGCATTGACAATAATGTTAAAAATGCACAAAAAGTGTGAGATGACAAAGTCAATAAATAAAATCATAAGACATATGGAATAGTGTCATCATAAATTTAAAAAAAAGGGGAGATAAAAGAGCCGGTTATTTTTCTAATTGTATTGTGCAAGTCGTAGATTTGACGATTAAGGCTGTTGTCCCTATCATATAGAACGTGAATGGACCAAATAAAGTGTTGCTGTGTTTTTCTCAACTTGGTTATGTGAGCATGTAATCATTTTTAATGATTTTATGATCCTACTTGATGAGATGGAATGAGGAGTATTGTGAATAAAGAAGGTGTTGGCAGTCGGACAACATAGACTTTTTGCCCATTTCTCACATGAGTTCAGATTTCTGTTAACTGCAATATTAACTAGCCAAATTCATGACACAGACACAACAGATGCTTTACTTTTATGCCCTTTCTGATACGACACAGTGCGTTTTGAGAAGACTAGGCAAAATCAGAGAGGAGCAATCAGGGAAAGTAGGTAAGATGCAAGAGTTAACGAATTGTAAAGATAAAAGTTAAGTGATTCCTTATTTTTTTTTAAACTTTTTTATGTAGAAGGCTAGATGGAACAAGATATGGGATAACCAAGAAAGATCAGAGGATAGAACCATGTTAAGGTATTTGAATAGGTTTCTATTTCAGTGCCCTCTTGGCTACGAATATCTTCTTAACGAACAAGTTCGTATAAACAACGTTTATCTAATTTGAAGCAGTCAGGTCAGGACTTAACTGGCAACAAGACACATCGTCAGCGTACTTAAAAAATGCAAGTTATATCAGAGGAAAGAAAAGAAAGTTGAGATAGGATAGTACTTCGAGGGACAATGGCTTCGGTAAGCAAGCAAGGTAGAGGAAGATTCGCCTTTATATACAAAGTATAGTGAATCCTTCTATGTGGAGAAATAAGAACTCAACCATTTGACACTTATAACAAAAATGGTATTATAACAATAAATAACATTATCCCCACTTTACCTGCTTGGACAAGATGTTCAGCACGTTCACCTTGTTCGTATCCTTTGAAAGCAAATAAAACATAATCCATAGGTATTGAGCTAATTAAATCAAGAAAAAACCATGTTTTCACATATTCACGTGCAATTTCTGTAGGATCCAGTATTATATCATCAACAAAATCATTTCTGATAATACCTAAATCAGACATCGAGAGAGATTTTGAAAGGGAAAAAATACAAACAACACATTAGAAAGGAATATTATTATGCAATAGAAATTGAAATATCCATTTATTTAAACAAATTAAAGAACTGGAAAACTTCAAAAAAATACTGTTTCTGTGACAGTTTTACTGATATAATATTAGTGCTCATTTCGTCATAGGTTGCAGTAGAATTTAGAATATGAGTTTCGTTCAGTTCAGGATTCGCCAGCCTGATGGATCTGATACTCAGGGGGTTACAGTTTTTCAACTAAGAACTGAGTCTAGTAGCCACCCTCTGTAAACACTAAACCACTAGCTGATAGCCAAAACTGCCAACCCAACCACTATCAGACGAGGAACGTAATCAAGATTTCATGAAAGCAGTATGTAAAATGACGGTTGATTAATTCCCTTCAGGAATAAAAACAAGGTGGAGAACTTCTTTTGTATGCTTGTCTTGAATACTCTAACAACTTTTGAATCATATTTATTGGTCAAACATTCAGATGGTTCGAATCACACGATTTTGTATCCTTCATCTAACTCTGGATGATAATGTTGCAGAATTTTTTAAATTTCAAAAAGGTTGAGTTTGTAGTAGCTTAGTTTGGAATATACGCCAGTTGTTTGACTCTTCGTGCCTAAAATATTTGAAAGGAAATAAATATGATTTGATCACAGACTAATATCAGTCACAGAACCACCGACAGTCAGGGATTAGTGGACAGCCAGCTATTCGTCTTAGTTAAGGACTCATTGGCAGTATGTCTCCACGGGTGTTTGAACACAGGGCTTTCCGGTCACAGGTCAAGGCTAGATCGCAGACCATTCAGCTTCTGAGACTTAATCACCAGCCAAAGTCTTCAGTGAATATTTGTGCTCCCTTCCAGCCGGATTGACCCCACTGGTCATTCCTTCTCACTAGAACTCCGAGTAACGTCCTCCTTTAGCCAGTCTCTAGCTAGTATCAGACTTGGACCAAGTTTACTGGAGTTCTAGTGGGAACTCATGAACAATCACGTCAGCCAGGTCGACAGCGAGAACAATAACTTGCTGGCCACACTAGCTTGTGGTAGTCGCGCTAAGATCACGAAATGATAGAGGCTAGAATTCGTGAGACTGTTGAATTGAGTCTTAGTGGCTGAATGATTTACGAGTTCTTCTTGTAAATGGAAGATTTTGGGTTCAAACACCGTTGGATACATACTGTTGATGAGTTCCAAAGTTGGATGAAGTATGTGTCCAGAACTCCCTGGTTTTCAGTGTTTCTCCAAGTGAGGTATTAATTGGTGATCAAAACGTGAAACAAATAAAATCCCTGCAAAATTATTCATGGAAGTGAAAGTGGATTGAATATCACACGAACACAATTTATTATTCTTCATAATAATATCATCATCTGTGGTTACACAACACTGAAACACCAGTTTCATACTTTTCTTTATTCCTTCGAATTCGTCGTAAGGGTAGTGGAATTCTCCAGATGTTCCAGTAAACAAGCATCATCCATACATACATTCTGCTAACAATCTCGATCCCCGCCATGTTATGTTAGATTTTGGAACTGTCATCTTATCTCATTCTATTGTATGGTTGTGTGCAGTTGAAAGTTATGCTAGGACTGTTAAACTGTTCTTCAGATTTCTCATCTCATTAGTGTCTTCTAATCAAGATATTTGTAGGTATTTTATGCTTCGGTAGTCTGACTGACTCTATGATAATACGCCGGCATGACAATCAATACAGGACATTAGATAAACTGTATTCTCTTGTCAAATGGGCTCAACAGGATCCTTTATCTCTTCAGATTTGTTTCTAAGTTTGAATGACACTTTTATTCTTGCGTTGTTAAAAATTCAGACTAGTAGAGAGCATAAACCAAGCAGTATCCATATTATTTAATCCTAATGAGATGAGAAATCTCTAAGATAGTTCAGCTTTAGCAGCATAACATGTAATTACACACAACCATATAATATGGGCCCGTTTGGAGTAAACACAGGAGTCAGACAAGGGTGCTCATTATCGCCAGTGATATTCTCTAATTGTGGTGGACTGACTGGATTATGCGTCAGACAGTGGGAAACGAGAAGACAGGAATATTCTGGACCGACGTGAAGAACAAAGAAGACCTGGACTTCGCGCGTGGATGATTTATGTTTGATGTCACTGTCACAAAATCGAAGACTTACAAGCGAAAACCGACAAACAGGTCGAAGAAGCAGCCAGCAGAGACAGGACTCCAGGTAAACATAGACAAGACGGAGGTTATGAAAATAACCGACCAACAACAACAACAGCAACATCCAGCGCCAATCATCATCAACGGGAGGGATTTGAAAGAGGTTACTTCATTCACTTATCTAGGGGAGCGTTGTCCCAACTACAGGAGGAGCGGACGAGGATGTCAAATCGAGAATCGGGAAGGCGAGAAACACATTCATCAACCAACCTGAAACCGATCTGGAAATCTTCGTCACTCAACTCAGTATCAACAACAAAATTCAGTCGGATTTTCAATACAAACAACGTCAAGTCAGTCAGTTCTTCTATACGGATCAGAAACTTGGCGGGTGGGTCACAAAGAATATTCCCAACAGCCTGTTGCAGACCTTTATTAACAACTGTCTTCGCTCTATACTGAAGATCAGATGGCCGGGCGGGAAAGAATCACCAACAAGGAATTATGGGAACAAACAAAGCAAGAACCAATCACCAACCAACAAATATGCAGGAGAAATTGGAGATGGATCGGACACTCGCTGAGGAGACCACTGGGTGACATTGCGCGTCAGGCCAGTGTTTGAGTGGAACCCGAAAGAGAAGCGGCGATTGGGATGTCGGTGTAAGGGTGACATGGAGGAGATCGTGTGAAGAGCAGTTGAAACAATATGGACTAACATGGATACAGGTGAAAAGTACAGCAGAAGCAAGATAGAAGTGGCAAGTGGAGACGTGCATTTGAAGCCCTATGTTCCACTAGGAACCCAAGGGAACAGTAATAATAATGCAATATGGGCTGGGATAGGATGACTGTTCTAAAATCTGACATAGTATGGAGAAGTGGAAGCTTGATAACGAAAGCTTTCTTTATAGAATTGACTCGGAATAGGGGTAACAGGAAGGATTCAGTATCTGTCAACTCAGACATTTGAAGAATTCTACGATCCCTACGACAAATAGGAAGAAATAAAGAAGGCTAGATAAAACAAAAGTTTTGAGCTTCTGTATCTAAAATCCCTGAAATAATAAAAATAATCTACATTATTTTTAAAACCAGTCCTTTTAATACAGAAGGGAATTCTCAGCATTTGTCACAACACCTTGCATCTGATTTACTCAAAATATAAATAAAATTAAAACAAAAGTAAACAGAAGAATTTGTCCATGTTTACGATATTAAGTCAAAAATATTCGAAGCACGAATTGAGATTATTAAATATAATAATAATAACAATAACAGTGAGTTTGTTTCAAACTGTATTTTTCGATTCAGTTTGGAAATTTTAGCATGTTACTATAGAGTATTGAATCTAATATTCTGTTGATATAGAAGCATGATGAGGGAAAATACAAAATTAACAGTTATATAACACAGCTTAAATGATGTTCACCCTTATGAAAAATAAATAAATAAAAACAAAAAATTGTGAGGACTATAAATATAAGAAATACAAAAACAATAAAGTTTGATGGTGTAAGGGTGGAGGAAATGGTTTATTTAGTAGTGCAAAGAAGGTTAGTTAGTTCATGCCTGACACCATTTTCATCACATAAAGTACATGCCAAATAAAGTATAGTGGAATTTCTATACTTAGACGTACGTGCATAAATTCTTTTAAAAAAAGACTTCTTGTTTTACCTGAGAAGACACATGGTTAGAGCTGCAGGTAAAGTGGATGCTCACAGTCTGACAAAACTCCTTTAGCATATTTACTGCATGATATCAAGTGCTTATCGATGACAACGATATGGCCCAACGGGATACCACTCAACTTACTGACACATGACATAGTCCTTTTGAAGCAATCCAGGAAAGAATAAGGGTGAACAGTAAAGAAGAATAGGTAATATAAATGAGTTGACAAACTGTGAGAGGAGGAGTGGTTGAGTTATGCCTGAGTGCCTTAACTTTTTGATGCAAAAGGTCGCATGAAATATTCGTTTAGAAGTCGCTTAGACATGGTAAGCCCAGAATAGGTAAGAAGAAAGAATTAATCCATTCTATATTAGTATCATCAATTTTGCAACGGTCATAGGAGCCAACGGCTTCATTTGACTTTCGTTTACATCGGAAACTGAAATTAACTGTCTGACATTTGGCAGGATTTAGTTTAAGACCGTTATATGAAGACCATTTGCTGATTCCTGATAGAAATATGCTCATCTGGGTACAGTCTAGCTGAGAGTAAACAGATATTGAAATAGATCGTCCGCGTACTTAACAAAATTCATTTCATCAGAGTGAGGCAATTCATGCAAGAAGAAAGAAAACAGAAAAGGAGAAAGGACAGCTCCTTGAGGGACACCAGTCTCAGCAAGGAACGAAGTGGACGACTTTCCCCGACATATAGTGCACTGCTTTCTTCCTGAGAAATAAGTATGCAGACATTTGATAAGCCAACAGTCAGTTTGAGTTTCAGCAAGCTTGTTTAACAAAAAATCCCTACAGTGGTACTGAGTCGAAGGCAGATGTGTACTCTAGGAAGGTGCAGCGAATAAATTTAGCCCTTTTGTCTAAGCTGGAGACAGTATTATGATACAAGACTGCAACTGCATCTAAAGTATTTCTACTGTGTTTATAGGCGAATTGTTTGGGATAATTAAAGGCTTTAAGTAAAGGTTGAAGATCAGGTAAGAGTAACTTTTCCATAGCTTTTAGAAAAGAAGACGTAATAGCAGTAGGTCTAAATTTAAAATATGTTCCAGTAGACGATTTAGGAATAGGTACAATTCTGATGTCCTTCCAAACGGCTGGAATGACATTTCT